ACGAACCGATGCATCCATAAAGATATTTTGCAACAATATACATCTCACCTCCAGTCATACACAGATTTTTATGTTACACGAGCAGCGATCAATTTTGTATTCAAACACGAATTGTACGCATCGATTTTTGACAAAAAAAAAACGCTTCACTTCTTGTCAAGGCATTAAATCCCTTAAAATGTTCGTTTACCAATAGCAATTTATAACAGGATCAGAATATATTGTATGTGTAACATCCAGTAACTGTTTTATCGTTTTAAAAGTTTTAAATTTAATGTACCAGCTTTGGTCCCGATGTGTCCTTGTCTATACTTATTTCCGAACACATTTAATAAGTGATTCATAACATTCTGTATTTAGTATACTGAGAACATTCTTATCCATCGAGGGGATATTAAAATTTCAGACTTTGGATTTTCAAGAAAACTTGATAGTATGATGGAGACAAAGAGTAAAAATTTTTATGGAGTTGTTCCTTTTGTCAACCCTCAAAAACTAAACAGCTTCGAATATTCGTGCAATAAAAAATCCGATGTTTATAGCATGGGGGTACTTATGTGGGAAATATTAAATAAAGGATGTAGGCCATTTACTTTACAAAACTACAGTAAACTCGCAACATATATTATTGGAGGCTTACGCGAAACACCTGTTTCAGGAACCCCTATGTATTACGTTAAACTTTATTCTGATTGTTGGAATGGTAAACCAGACAAACGTCCTTCCATGGAGGAAGTTTTTCTGCAATTGGAGTCGAAATCTTCAGAATTAGATCCCAAATACAATGATACCGGTCAATATTTTAAAGAGAATATTAATAATTCTGAATCTAGAAGCGATGATATTGGTTTGTATTTGCTTACATTGTACATCGACTCTTAAGATATTAATATGACATTCATCTCTCATTAATTAGATAATGGAATTTCTAAAATAGCTGAAAGTAAAACGTTAGAATAGCACATCGACAGTGAAAACATGTAATGTTCATTAATATTTATTTTATCGTTTTGACAAGGTTCTTTATACATACTTACACCTATAATTAATTACATGCGATAAATTAAGGATTGTGAGTATTGAATTTTAAATTAATGAGGCCTTGATATTTGTAAATGACATTTTTTTAAATTATCGTTCTTTTTATTTAAAAACAAATTCTTGTTACACATTTATTATTGATTAATTTACATGCATGATAAAGAGCGTGAGTATTAAGATTTAGGTTTATTAGACATTATTTATGATTAAATGTGTATTTACTGTTCAATTGTTAAATTACAGAGAGTAAGTTTGTAGTTTATTTATAGTTTTTTTTTTTTTTTGAAAATGTCCCTGTAAGTTGTATCTGAATTAATCATCTTTGTTGAACTGGAGGTGAGATGTATATTGTTGCAAAATATCTTTATGGATGCATCGGTTCGTCTAGGCCCTAGTGCCGTTGGCCACTGTGTACACAGTATTTCCCCCAAATAGTCCTCCAGGATTAAGATTCAGGTATTATTCACCGCTAATCTATAATAACTCTTGAATAATACAGTGAAACCTCTCTAAATACACCCCCCTCCGGATCGTAGTAAAAAAAATTTACAAAAGTGCACTTAGCGAGGATGTGCATTTATAGAGCAAAATACAGAGAGACCTCCCTAAGTGCACCCTCATAAATGCATTCACTACTTATAATAATAATATATATTTTGCTCTCTATAAATGCACACCCTTCCAAAGTGCACTTTTTTTTACTATGGTCCCGAGGGGTGTATTTAGAGAGGTTTCGCTATCTATTATATTAAAACACAAATGTCCGTCACGCTATTGACCAATTGAAAGTTTCCAACGCATACTATTTTGTAGTCAGGTGGGTATTTGGCTGAAGAATTATAAAAGTTGCAGTATTTGATCTGAAATGTTTATTCACTTCTAAATTCGTTATTAGCAGAGCCACAGGAATCCAAGGTTATTACTAGAAGTATTTCAAGAAAGCTACATGTGCTTTTATAAATAAATTTCTAATGGCTTTCTCTCTTTTAATACATGATTACTATTAAGAAACTTAGAGAAGCCATTGCTCTTGCAAAATGTATTCATAAATGCTTTCCCTTCTTCTAATCTGTGTGGGTTCGTTATTTCAGCAGTGTGGGTTTATTGGTTTCAGTAGTGCAGATTGTGGCTTCACGGTAAGTGGATTCATCATTTCAGCAGTATATACGTATTCATGGCTTCAACAGTAGGTAGGTTTGTGATTTTAATTGTAGATTGTTAGCAATAGATAAGTAGTTCACGACTTTGTCATTAGATATAAATTAACAGTGAATAGGTTCGTAATCCCAATAGTAAGTTTGTTTGTGATTTTAATAAGTTCATATTTTAGTTCAATAATGGATGACTTCATTATTTTAGCAGTGGGTAGGTAGTAGGTTTGCTAATTTTTAATTGTGATCTTAATAGCAGAACCGATTGCTTATAACTCTGGTCAATTTTGCTGATCGTTTGGCCAAGTTCAAAATTTTTTTTTTTTGATTTAACCAGAGATATAAGTAATCGGTTCTGCTATTTAGATCATAATTAATATTAGCCCTTACGAATTTCGGCAGTAAATGGAACACAATTTCAACGATGAGTAGTTCATGACTCAAACAGAGAGTGTAGATTTGGAACTCAACAGTAGATGAGCTCAGCTCACAATAAGCACGTAATCTCAATCTCAATAGTGGGTCAGATTATGATTTAATAATGAGTAGATTTTTTTCACAATTTAGTGGTACAGTAAGTAAATTTGAGGCTCCAACAGTGACTGAGTTTGTAATTTTAATAGGTGTGTTCATGATTTTACATGAGTTGAACGAGTTAATTTCAATAATGGGTTCATGAGTTTGACATTGGATGATCTTTTTAATCTTTATTATTATTGCTCAAATCAGATGACTTTATTTGAACGAAGGAAAAATATATGGAGATTCTATTACAAGCATCATACATTCTTATTAGAGTATAGAAATATTCCTTATAATCTATTGCATTTTCACATAGAGAAATGCAGCCAAGCAGACCACATAGATATAACGAGAATCGGTTAATTATCGTCATGTAGTAATGTGAATGTTGTCACTTACCCATAGATCCTTGCACTGCTATTGCAGCCGCGGAGATTAATCATCAAATATGAGGTCCTTGCACTACTACTGTGCGCGGAGCCTAATCACAATTTGAGGTCCTTGCATTGCTACTGCAGCCACGGAGCCTAATCACAACATGAGGTCCTTGCACTGCTAATGCAGCGTTGAAACCTAATCACCATGCATGAGGTTCTTGTACTATTACTGTAGCCACAGAGGTTAATCAACATTATCCCTTAAACCGTTTGAAATTCAGGGCAAATTTGCCCTGAATTTTACTATAAAAATACTTCTGATCTATTTTT